TATATATACAGCAGGTAAAATAAGTATTGAACACGTCACCATTTTTCTCAGTAAATATATTACTTGATATATATATAGTATATTTCAAACAAGGGAAGTACGATTTTTCCAGGTGAGAATGTTCCAATAAAACTCCAACCAAGTAAAGCAAAATACCAGAAAAAGTTATGTTGAAGCCCTCGTATGAGATGGAAAAGTCAGAGATGAATCGTAGTTGGGCCTTGAAGTTGCCATAGAGACCAGCGTTGATGTTGCTAGGCAACTCATTGCCTGTCAGGCGAGCCAGCGGTTGCTGGAAACTCCCGTTCTCCGTAACCAGGAGGTAGTCGTGCTGGTCCTCCAGATGGAAAGAGTTGAACTGAAACTGGACTCCTGTTTGACACAAAAACAAACGGATAAAGAGAAAAAAAAGCTTATTGCACATCAATTTTTAGTTCACATATACATTTTTAAAGTGCATACAATAATCTTAACCTTAAAACTTACTTGCAAACAAAGTTATATTTGCATCATGCAACAAAGCTTTGATGACTGTAGCGTAAAGAACTTCATGCAAAGTGTGTGGTAGAGGTGCAGGAGTTACTRAACCACTGCGGCTGTCATGTCACAGAGTACTGTTTCCCAGTCTGTCTCTGTCTATTAGAGAGTGTGGATCTGTGAGTGTCCCTTGCCTTTCCCATGGCTGACTTCAACAGTCCAGGTACAGTTGAGAGATGAAGGGTAGCTGTCTGGATAGCCAGGACTGAGGATGGTTCCCCAGGGACCCCTAACATCCCCGCCGCACAGAGCTGAAGAGATTGAGAGAGACGGAGTGGGAGAGAGGAGTGGAGGGAGAGAGATGAACAGAGACAGGAAACGGAGGCAAAGAGAAGGTTAGCATCAGATTGTTGATTGCTAAAACAGATAATGCTTCCCGGTGGACCTTTAATACCTCCTCTTTGAGCCTTACACACAAGTGTTCCCACACACAAATGATGCAAGCAGAGGAGAGCGAGCCGGAGACGAAAAGCGAGCACGGGAGATAGACATCWTCTAAGAGTTGTGGGTTAAAAGCGCTGCGTGCACAGAAAGCTGCAAAACTGCTGTCCTTTAACACTTTAGGCTGGGGTGAAAATTTGCTACCAAACCTTAAGAACTGAAAGTCAAATGTCTGATATTTGTCCCACAATTCTGCAGAGATGCATTAAACCAAATGAGATAAAATCTGCCAGATAGGTAAAAACTGTTTTTTACTGTTTTTCTTTAAACATACTTTAAGTCAATGGATTAAGGTGAAGTTGGGAAACGATTGTGGAATGTGGAAATCTTAACATAATCTTTATAAATAAATGAAATAATGAACAATATGTGTGTTTCTATTCTTTTTTTTTCCTTGCATGACTCATGTCATGGCGCCACATATGCCAGCATCATGAAGTGCTTTCATGATTGACCTTCACTGGTCTGAAACAACATCCCCCAGCTACAAACTCTTAGCTTGAAGCCTGGAATTAATAAGATAGAGATCACAGGGGCCTTTTGTAAACCATTAAAGACACATCTGCATGCAAGCGCTGATGCACAATTCATAAACATTTCGCTTATAATAAAGCCTGAGCTTTGTTGTTGCTAATTAATCTCCTGATATTATTTCGATTTACTACAATTTCCAGCGTTGCATCTCTTGATTTATTCCAGTGCTGACTAATTTGTAAAAAATATATTTCTTTTCAGTCCTAACAGCAGCAACAGGCTTTGCATAAAAAGAGCCAAGTTGAGATCATACAAAGGAATAAAAAAAAGATGAATCTAAAATATGCAGTGTACTTGTTAATATATGCAGCAGAATGTGTGAGAAACGCACAATAGTTGTTACGGCTTAAAATCATAAAAGTCTTATGTAAAAGTGGCCATCTGTACAACAAGTGTACTTTCTGTTACCGTCAAGATTTCAACCTAGTTGCAAAGCTCCTGCTTTGAGGAAAAAAATAAAACAAAAACTAAGACTTTCACTGCCCGTCCGTTAAAAAAAA